CTGGGATTAAAAGTGGGCCAGCATTCCTGGCTTTTTGTTTTAATATTGTTGTATGATGGTTTTGTTCCTATCAAGCATTTGCTGTTGTACTGAGCTTCACCCACATCTTGAATTTTAAAATTTGTCAGAGGGTTTCATTATGTTTCCCAGAATGGCATGTATTCATGACATTAATACTGCCTGTGCCTTCTGAGTCATTGGATTGCAGGTGCCTAAGCTTCTTCCTGCCTGTTTGTTTTGAATTTTTATTTTAAAAAGAATATTTTTGTAGTAGGAGGAGGGTGGCCCTTTGTTCCCTTCTTGGCAACGAAGATGGGATTGCTTGTCGTCCTGGCTAGCTTACACCCAAAATAATCACACAGAAGTTGTATTAATTTAAACACTGCCTGGTCCATTATCTGTAGCCTCTTATTGGTTAACTCTCACATATTGATTTAAGCCATTTCTAGTAATCTGGATATCACCACGAGGTTGTGGCTTACCGGGAAAGATGCAGCATGTCTGATACATTGATCAAAAGATGGTATTAGAAACCCCAAGCTGGGAACAATGGATAGTTATGATCCCCCATGTAAGTCTTTGAGCCCACCTACCTGTATGCAAGACCAGGAGGACTCTTTACTGTTGATCTATTTTTCCTGATCTGTGTTGATTATTTATAATCAGCATATTAATTGCTATTGTTTTCATTTGTCAATTTGTAACTTTAAACATACAGTGCTTTTAGTAAAATGTTATTTACATTGCAGTTAAAATTCGGACACTTCAGGTTTCTGGTAGATGAATAAAGAGTTCAAGTGAATGCATACCTCTTTGTAGAAACTTCAGCAAAAACCTATGAGTTATTTCTTTTATATTTGTTTGATGTTTTTATGTGAAACAGATATTTAATATGTATTTCTTGCTGTGCTAGAAGTGATTGCATAGACTAGGCTGGTATTCAACTCAGAGGAAGATAGATACACATGCCTCTGCCTTCTGAGTACAAGGATTAGAGGTATGATTCAATACATCTGGCATTTTCGTCTTATTTTTCTTTTTGTAGTTAGGAATTAATCTTTCATACAGTTTCTCTTATCTGTACTCAGTACTCTTGATCTGTTTACATATCTTTCATTGTTGGTTAGTAGGCATTTCTCTTGCAAGGTGATATCCCATTCAAAGGGTTCAGAAATGACAGAGGTGAGCCTCCTATTCATTTTGCTTCTAAAGTGACTTGGTGATTAAATTATGATGTCTGTGTCATGGAATAAGTATCGGGCGCACCAGAATTATATGACTTTACTGTCAAAGAAGTATACATTTACAGTGTTGTCAAAATCATGCTTTTGTTTGTACACATGTATGTGATATTTTAGAATACAGTGACCTATGATGATGTGCATGTCAACTTCACTTGGGAAGAATGGACTTTGCTGGATCCTTCCCAGAAGAATCTCTACAAAGATGTGATGGTGGAGACCTACAGAAACCTCACTACTATAGGTAAGACTGAATTATCTTTTATGTTTCAAATAAGGGGACAACTGTTTATTGGTTAATGGTGCTCTTTTGTAACATGATTGAGAAAGAAGAATGAGGTAAATAAGTCAGGCATGGTTATAAGGTTTGCTACAAATGGTAGCTAAATTTTTTTTTTTACAATTTTTAATATATAATGTCTGGCACTATATTTTAGGATACAGTTGGGAAGACCATAATGTTGAAGAACATTGTCAAAGTTCTAGAAGACATGAGAGGTAATTTTCATTTATAAATATACAAATATACCTCTGAAGAATTGTAATGTATCCTATATGTTTTAAACAAAAACAGCAGTGTAAATAATAACATGCATTGATAATTATTAAATTCTCACAAAATCTTATACCTTAATTTCAGATAGGTAAACTGCATTTGCAAGTCATTCTTTTAAGAAAGAAGTCAAGGAAACAATGTCTTAACTTATATTACCATTTGAATCATAATACAATGAGAACTATACTGTAAAATTGTCTGTTTATTTCAGATTATTCATATTATAAAAGATATCCATGTTGAAAAGATGATAAGCATATCTCTAAAACTCTCTATTGCACTAATAGTCCATAGAAAAGGTAGTTTAACCCATATACTTATGACTGTGTTAAGTTTAGTGAAGGGGCAGTTAGAGTCATGAATCAAGGGGTAGCTGTTGTGGAGAGGCCTTAATCCAGATGCCACAAGTCTATGAGGACATAAAGTGTGAACTCAATGTGGAAATCTTGCATCGGTTATTCTTCCTTTACTAGGTATATCATATGTTACTCTGGATACCAGCCACATGAGCAGAGGGGTGTGAAACGATATAGCATACCTCTCTCTCAGAATAGACAGAAGATATGTAGCAGTCCCCATGTTGAGTATAGTTGTTGAATTTGATGTAAAAGTATATAAGTAATTGGTTTTATAGCCTCATTGTTAATATATCAACAATCTCACATTTCAGAAAAGCACCATGAGTACTAGGACTGTATAAATATTTTTGTTTGACCTAGTTCACTTAACAAATGTAGTATCACTCACAGTAGAGGAAATATTATGAATGCAATAAGAGTGGTAAAGCTCTGAGTTTTTTCAGTTCTCTTCAAATACACGAAAATTCTCATGTAGAAAAAAGATTCTGTAAATGTGAATCATGTATCTTTAAAAATAAAAAGCAAGCCTTAATAAAGGGGAAAAACAAAATTGTAAACGTGGTAATAAAATGTTAACATATAATTCCTCTTTAAAATAGGACTAAATTGTAAAATTAATTCATACAGATAAAATACGTTCAACAATATATTAAATGTAGTAATGCTTTCACATGTACCATTATCATTGTAGGCATGAAAAAAGTCAAACTAGAGAGAAAACTTCTGTATATACTCAATGTATTAAAGCCATTACATGTGACAGTCATCTTCACATGCATGAAAAAACACATACTAAATTAAAACCCTATGATGGAAATGAGTGTGATAAAGCCTTTTCACATCACAGTAATCTTCAAATGCATAAAAAGACATACACTGGAGAGAAGACTTTTGAATGTAATCAGTGTGGTAAAGCCTTTGTATGTCACAGTGATCTACAAAGGCATGAAAGAACCCATACTGGAGAGAAACCCAATGAATGTAACCAGTGTGGTAAAGCCTTTGCATGTCACAGTGAACTCCGAAAGCATAAAAGAAGCCATACTGGAGAGAAACCCTATGAATGTAATCAGTGTGGTAAAGCCTTTGCATGTCACAGTGAACTCCGAAAGCATAAAAGAACCCATACTGGACAGAAACCCTATGAATGTAATCAGTGTGGTAAAGCCTTTGCATGTCACAGTGAACTCCGAAAGCATAAAAGAACCCATACTGGACAGAAACCCTATGAATGTAATCAGTGTGGTAAAGCCTTTGCATGGCGCAGTGATCTTCAAAGGCATGAAAGAACCCATACTGGAGAGAAACCCTATGAATGTAATCAGTGTGGTAAAGCCTTTGCACGTCACAGTGATCTTCAAAGGCATGAAAGAACCCATACTGGAGAGAAACCCTATGAATGTAATCAGTGTGGTAAAGCCTTTGTATGTCACAGTAATCTACAAACGCATGAAAGAACCCATACTGGAGAGAAACCCTATGAATGTAATCAGTGTGGTAAAGCCTTCACATGTCACAGTTATCTCCGAAAGCATGAAAGAACCCATACTGGAGAGAAACCCTATGAATGTAATCAGTGTTATAAAGCCTTCGCATGTCACAATTATCTCCGAAAGCATGAAAGAACCCATACTGGAGAGAAACCCTATGAATGTAATCAGTGTGGTAAAGCCTTTGCACGTCACAGTGATCTTCAAAGGCATGAAAGAACCCATACTGGAGAGAAACCCTATGAATGTAATCAGTGTGGTAAAGCCTTTGCACGTCACAGTGATCTTCAAAGGCATGAAAGAACCCATACTGGAGAGAAACCCTATGAATGTAATCAGTGTGGTAAAGCCTTTGCACGTCACAGTGATCTTCAAAGGCATGAAAGAACCCATACTGGAGAGAAACCCTATGAATGTAATCAGTGTGGTAAAGCCTTTGCACGTCACAGTGATCTTCAAAGGCATGAAAGAACCCATACTGGAGAGAAACCCTATGAATGTAATCAGTGTGGTAAAGCCTTTGCACGTCACAGTGATCTTCAAAGGCATGAAAGAACCCATACTGGAGAGAAACCCTATGAATGTAATCAGTGTGGTAAAGCCTTTGCACGTCACAGTGATCTTCAAAGGCATGAAAGAACCCATACTGGAGAGAAACCCTATGAATGTAATCAGTGTGGTAAAGCCTTTGCACGTCACAGTGATCTTCAAAGGCATGAAAGAACCCATACTGGAGAGAAACCCTATGAATGTAATCAGTGTGGTAAAGCCTTTGCACGTCACAGTGATCTTCAAAGGCATGAAAGAACCCATACTGGAGAGAAACCCTATGAATGTAATCAGTGTGGTAAAGCCTTTGCACGTCACAGTGATCTTCAAAGGCATGAAAGAACCCATACTGGAGAGAAACCCTATGAATGTAATCAGTGTGGTAAAGCCTTTGCACGTCACAGTGATCTTCAAAGGCATGAAAGAAGCCATACTGGAGAGAAACCCTATGAATGTAATCAGTGTGGTAAAGCCTTTGCACGTCACAGTGATCTTCAAAGGCATGAAAGAAGCCATACTGGAGAGAAACCCTATGAATGTAATCAGTGTGGTAAAGCCTTTGCACGTCACAGTGATCTTCAAAGGCATGAAAGAAGCCATACTGGAGAGAAACCCTATGAATGTAATCAGTGTGGTAAAGCCTTTGCACGTCACAGTGATCTTCAAAGGCATGAAAGAAGCCATACTGGAGAGAAACCCTATGAATGTAATCAGTGTGGTAAAGCCTTTGCACGTCACAGTGATCTTCAAAGGCATGAAAGAAGCCATACTGGAGAGAAACCCTATGAATGTAATCAGTGTGGTAAAGCCTTTGCACGTCACAGTGATCTTCAAAGGCATGAAAGAAGCCATACTGGAGAGAAACCCTATGAATGTAATCAGTGTGGTAAAGCCTTTGCACGTCACAGTGATCTTCAAAGGCATGAAAGAAGCCATACTGGAGAGAAACCCTATGAATGTAATCAGTGTGGTAAAGCCTTTGCACGTCACAGTGATCTTCAAAGGCATGAAAGAAGCCATACTGGAGAGAAACCCTATGAATGTAATCAGTGTGGTAAAGCCTTTGCACGTCACAGTGATCTTCAAAGGCATGAAAGAAGCCATACTGGAGAGAAACCCTATGAATGTAATCAGTGTGGTAAAGCCTTTGCACGTCACAGTGATCTTCAAAGGCATGAAAGAAGCCATACTGGAGAGAAACCCTATGAATGTAATCAGTGTGGTAAAGCCTTTGCACGTCACAGTGATCTTCAAAGGCATGAAAGAAGCCATACTGGAGAGAAACCCTATGAATGTAATCAGTGTGGTAAAGCCTTTGCACGTCACAGTGATCTTCAAAGGCATGAAAGAAGCCATACTGGAGAGAAACCCTATGAATGTAATCAGTGTGGTAAAGCCTTTGCACGTCACAGTGATCTTCAAAGGCATGAAAGAAGCCATACTGGAGAGAAACCCTATGAATGTAATCAGTGTGGTAAAGCCTTTGCACGTCACAGTGATCTTCAAAGGCATGAAAGAAGCCATACTGGAGAGAAACCCTATGAATGTAATCAGTGTGGTAAAGCCTTTGCACGTCACAGTGATCTTCAAAGGCATGAAAGAAGCCATACTGGAGAGAAACCCTATGAATGTAATCAGTGTGGTAAAGCCTTTGCACGTCACAGTGATCTTCAAAGGCATGAAAGAAGCCATACTGGAGAGAAACCCTATGAATGTAATCAGTGTGGTAAAGCCTTTGCACGTCACAGTGATCTTCAAAGGCATGAAAGAAGCCATACTGGAGAGAAACCCTATGAATGTAATCAGTGTGGTAAAGCCTTTGCACGTCACAGTGATCTTCAAAGGCATGAAAGAAGCCATACTGGAGAGAAACCCTATGAATGTAATCAGTGTGGTAAAGCCTTTGCACGTCACAGTGATCTTCAAAGGCATGAAAGAAGCCATACTGGAGAGAAACCCTATGAATGTAATCAGTGTGGTAAAGCCTTTGCACGTCACAGTGATCTTCAAAGGCATGAAAGAAGCCATACTGGAGAGAAACCCTATGAATGTAATCAGTGTGGTAAAGCCTTTGCACGTCACAGTGATCTTCAAAGGCATGAAAGAAGCCATACTGGAGAGAAACCCTATGAATGTAATCAGTGTGGTAAAGCCTTTGCACGTCACAGTGATCTTCAAAGGCATGAAAGAAGCCATACTGGAGAGAAACCCTATGAATGTAATCAGTGTGGTAAAGCCTTTGCACGTCACAGTGATCTTCAAAGGCATGAAAGAAGCCATACTGGAGAGAAACCCTATGAATGTAATCAGTGTGGTAAAGCCTTTGCACGTCACAGTGATCTTCAAAGGCATGAAAGAAGCCATACTGGAGAGAAACCCTATGAATGTAATCAGTGTGGTAAAGCCTTTGCATGTCACAGTAATCTACAAACGCATGAAAGAACCCATACTGGAGAGAAACCCCATGAATGTAATCAGTGTGGTAAAGCCTTCACACGTCACAATTATCTCCGAAAGCATGAAAGAACCCATACTGGAGAGAAACCCTATGAATGTAACCAGTATAGTAAAGTCTTTGCACTTCACAGTAATCTACAAAGTCATGAAAGAAGCCATACTGGAGAGAAACCCCATGAATGTAATCAATGTTTTAAAACCTTTGCACTTCACAGTGATCTTCAAAGGCATGAAAGAACCCATACTGGAGAGAAACCCTATGAATGTAATCAGTGTGGTAAAGCCTTTGTAAGTCACAGTACTCTTCAAATGCATTAAAGATCACACACTGGGGATAAACTCTATGAATGTAATCGGCATGATAAAGCATTTGCATGTATGAATAATCTAAATCATGAGAAAAAGTCATACTGTAGAGAAACCCTAAAAATGTATTCAGTGTGATAACATTTTGTGCTTTATATAGGAGTAAAATTTTTGTGTGCAACAACCTTTTAAAGTCTTTGCATATTACAGTAGACATTGACTACCTGAAATAAAAAAGAGGACTTCTTATTATAAAGTGTTTCGTCAGATCTTTAGCCAAAACATTTATAATTAGCTTCGCAGTGGTTTGGTATTCCCCTCTGTATGCTGTGAATGTATTTTATTGCCTTTGTTTAGTAAAAAAAAAAAAAGGTGCTTTGGGTCTATGGCATGGCAGAATAGAGTAAGTCAGGAATTCCAAGCAGAGATAGAGGAGAAAAGAAAGTGGAGTCAGACTCCATGCATCTGCTGAAGGAGACAGATGCCCTGGAAACTTACTGGTAAATCCAAGTCTTGTGGTAAAATACAAAATAATAGGAATGGGTTAATTTAACAGAGTGAGTTAATAAGAATTCTAATCTAGCTGGGTGGTGGTGGTGCACGCCTTTAATCCCAGGACTTGGGAGGCAGAGGCAGGCGGATCTCTGTGAGTTCTGTGAGTTCGAGGCCAGCCTGGTCTACAAGAGCTAGTTCCAGGACAGGCTCCAAAGCCACAGAGAAACCCTGTCTCGAATCCCCCCCCCCCCCAAAAAAAAAGAATTCTAAGCTAATAGGCCAAGCAGTGTTTTAATTGATATAGTTTCTGTGTGATTGTTTCGGGTCCAGGCAGCCAGGAATGAACAAGGATCTTCTGCCTACAACACAGGGCTCTTTCTTCTGTAGAAATAAAGTCGACAGTGTTAACAATCTTTTCAAGCATTATGATGTCATTCTTATACTGTTTGTACTTACAAACTCATGGTAAAATGAATTTATGAATTTATGAAGTCCTGTGTGTAGGGTAAATGGCCCAGCCAAAGAAACACATCCTGACTTTGAAATCAGAGCCAGTGAAATACATAATATTGACTCTGAAACTGGAGACAAAGAAATACATCCTGACTCTAAAACCAAGACAATCCAGAGCCAATGAAAGAAACACCTAGCCCTGAAACCAGACTTAAAAGACTATAAAAGGCAAGTGACAGAACACACTTTGACCCTAAAACAAGAGCCAAAGAAACACACTCTACCCTTGACCCACTGAGCACAAAACCAGCTAATCCTTAAGCTCAAGATCTACCAATCCCTGAGCATGAAATCCAGTCAATCTCTGCATTGTTCAAGATCAGGGATTGTCGTCTAACCAATTCCCACCCTGAGAATCTTCTCCCTGGGAATACTCTGTGACTAAGAAGTCTTATATAAGTTCTGTACATGTTCAGTTGGCATCTGCCCTGGCAGAGACAGCCCTTCTCCTGGATTCTTCCCTTCCAAATAAATTTCTTGAATGAGTTTTGGTTGAAGATATTTCACCTGAGTGATAAGAAACTTTGTAGTGGATTGGAACAGAGAAGCTTTGGTCACCTCTGCTGGCAAACTCCCTTAAGGGAGCAGGGCAGAAGTAACAATTGACTAATTCTTACATCTTAAATTAACCCATTTCTATTAAACTCAGCACAGGCTGTGGCTTATCAGTAATGTTCGGTTCTGTCATCTTTCTGCTTGAACAACTACATCTCTTTTACTCCACCTATTCTCTCTCTCTCTCTCTCTCTCTCTCTCTCTCTCTCTCTCTCTCTCTCTCTCTCTTCCAGCCTGACTATATTCTGCTGTGCTGCAGGCCAAAGCAACTTTTTTATTTACCAATGGTAATAAATCATGTTCACAGCATACAGAGGGGAATCCCACATCACAAGATACCTTCTCTTCACAACTGTAGGTACAGCCTGACTTCTGACAGTCAGTGTTGTAGGGAGGTTGCTTGTTTGGTTCCCAGCCACCTGGCTAGCTTAGATCTGAAATAACCACACAAACACTGTATAAATTAAAGCATTGCTTGGCCCATTAGCTCTGGTTTCTTATTGGCTAAGTCTTACATATTAAGTTAACCCATTTCTATTAATCTGTGTATGGCCATGTGGCTGTGACTTACTGGGTAAAATTCCCAGCATCTGTCTTCAGCATCTCCATGGCATCTCTCTTACTCTGCCCTTCCTACCAGCATTAAGTTCAGATTTCCCTCCCTGCCAAACTAAGTTCTGCCCTATCAACAAGACAAGGCAGTTTCGTTATTCATTAATGGTAATCACAGCACACAGAGGGGAATCCCACATCAGATCAGGGTATCTTTCTCCACACAGCTGTAAATATCCAGACTACCTTCCTTTCATAGCTGTATTTATAGTCTGACTTCTGACAGTCAGGATAACTCCCTCCCCCCAGAGCTGTAACACTTGCACTATGAATTTAAACAATGATGCAACCCTTTTAGATTTTATATTTCTCTTCAATTTAATGGAATCACTGATTCAGGTGTAAAACTTTATTGATTTATATTTGTTCCTTTTCTGTTGCTGTGATACAATGTCTAGGTCAACTTATAAAAATTAACTTGGCCTTTGGCTCCAGCGGGATACAGGATCACCATGAAAGTGACATGGCAGCTGGACAGTGGTGGTGCATACTTTTAATCCTACACTCAGGAGGCAGAGGCAGGTGGGTCTCTGTGAGTTTGAGTCCAGCCTGGTCTACAAAGCAAGTTCTAGGACAGACTTCAAAGCTACAGAGAAACACTTTCTCAAAAAAGAAAGAGAGAGTTATGGCTACAACTGTCTAACATGACAGCTAAAGCAGGAAGCTAAGAACTCAAATCCTCAACCTACAGCATGAAGCAGAGGGTGCTCATGGCTCCTCATTGTGACCAGGTGTGCTTACCTGGTGTAGTCACAGAACACCTCCAGAGTCTGAGTGTCCAGCAGTAAGCCACACCAGGGAAACAGGCAGCGAGCAGGCACCTGGTGTGGAGCTGCACTGTCCAGTGTACCAGTCTCCATGGGGAAGTTCACCATTGTCTTCTGTAAGTTTATCGTGCAGCCATACTCAGGAATACCGTGGACCAGGGCCCTGATAAGAGAGGGAACATGAGGTCTTCTGGGACCAGAGAGTGGGTCCTTGAGGGCATCCTAATGGAACATCAGGCACAGTCTTGCTCTGGACTGTCGCCTAGCTCCTGTCTTCTGTGTAAATGATAGAACAATAGGGCCAGGTCAGAACAAAATAGGCTGGCATCAAACAGGTAGAAAGAGTCACATGACTCTCTGTTGGTCATATCTTAGCATCCATGTGGCAGGGCATCTTCTCCCTATGACCCCAAAAGCCTGCTTTCTTGTTGCTACTTTGAGGTGTCTGCAGGCACTGATTGCTTCCCCTACCAACAAATGCTAAACAGACTGCTTGCCTATGGGACAGACCTCCCTGGTGAGTCAAAGGCAACTTGTACCCTTTCTCAGGGTGAACTCACAATGGCAGCCTGGCAGTGGTGTGGCTCCTGTCCCATGGGTGTGGCCACCTGATGCCACCCATCTGGTGGCATTCCACTCCAGACCCTTGTGACTAGTCAGTCCTTGCAGCTGCCCTGGCCAGCTCCTTGCAGTAAATCTTTCCTTCAGGTGTCCATGGATAGCCCCATCTAGTGGTCCTGTCACCTAGTGACCTGAAATTGATAGAGTCACTTTCCTGATAAGGTCGTAGGGGCAGAACTGAGTTCTGGAACTTTCCTCAACAGCAGCAGTGTCTTCTGTCTAGGGGCCGCTGCCCACTGGTCACATAGCCACGTACATGGCAGGGCCATTACAGGGCTGTTCTTACCTGATTCTACTGACCTTGACACGCACAGCCTACTGGGCTCAAGAACACTATGATAGAAAGTGCAGGCAGCCTGTACAGAGTCCTGGTTCCAGCCCAGATCTGGAACTGGACAGCATCTAGTGTGTCCGCCAGACAGGCCAGTGGATACTGGAAACACCAGTACCTCATTGGTGACAGCTTCTGAGGGCTCAGTTTAATTAATCACTTTCAGATTTTTATTTTTCTTCTTGTCAAGTACCCTAAAGGGAAGTCTACAAACTTTACAGTGCCTACGGGGGGCTCTTCTATAATATGTGACCTGAGGAAGCCCTCAAACTCTGTAGTGGCTGGGGAACCTCAGCTGATGGTCCCTGCTCTGAGGAAGGGCCACAGTGCTCAATTCTAGCTTGAGCCACAAAAATTAACTTTACAACCAGAACTGCCAATAACCCTGACATAATCTCTACATACTATAAACATAGCCTGGAATACACACTACAATTCACTGGTATGAATATTATGTAAGAAAAAAGAGCACTCCTGATGGAAAAGCCATATCTCAAACACCAATGTTTAGTAAATCCAATTTCTCTGGTCTCTTCCTAACAATCCATAAAGAAAAGGTTATTGTACAGAGCCATGGACTTATTCACCCAGCACCTGTTCTTCCTGGTGTGATATGAAGTCTTAAA